GGGAGGCCATGAATAAGCCTCAGCATCTCAGGCTTTAGTTTGCTGAGCCGTCAAATGTGAATGTAAGGATTAAGAGGCCAGCTCTCTGTGATTGTAAGGTGCTTAGTCTAGGGAGGGGACTCTGCAGCAGCTAACTCTGGGGAGGATTCCTGGGTTTCTGTGCACGAGGGGCCCAAGCAGGGCTGATCACCCACCTCACCCCAGGCTGCAGATGCTGGAAGCCCTGTGCAGGCACTGGCTGGGCCCCATGAGCCTGGCCTTGTACCTGACAGATGCAGAGGCTCAGCAGTTCCTGCATTTTGTGGAAACTTCACCAGTTCTCTCTGCGAGGAAGGATGTAGCTTACCACATAGTATACCAGGAGGGTCTCCTCTATCCAGTCAACCAGCTCCGCAATGTGGCCTTGGCCCAGGCTCTCACGCCCTACGTCTTTCTCAGTGACATTGACTTCTTACCTGCCTACTCCCTCTACGACTACCTCAGGTAGGCCTGGAGGGTAGGAGAGGGGCAGTGTCAGGGTATCTTGGGAACCCTAGGTTGCTGTGTTTCTGCCTTTCTGGGGCTCAATGGCTTCTGCAAAATGGGGCTTATCTTAGGCCTTTTCTTTGAGCCACCATTGAGTCAGGGAAGCAATGCCTTACTTCAAACAACAGTTTGAAGTATGGCAAGGCTATCTGAAACAGCAGGTTTGACTACCTGTGGCTTAGCAGGGATGAGACCTGTGTGTGGGCTGAGTGTTCCTTCCCACATGCCCATCCCTCCCCAGGGCCTCTATCGAGCAGCTGGAGCTGGGCAGTCAGCGGAAGGCTGCTTTGGTGGTACCTGCATTTGAGACCCTGCACTACCGCTTCAGCTTCCCTAACTCCAAGGCAGAGCTGTTGACCTTACTAGATGCAGGCTCCCTCTACACTTTTAGGTAAGAGACTATATTCTGCTGTTATCATGCTGCCTCCCACACCCCCCCCCCCCCATCCCAGCTCACAAACTCCTAGCCTGCTCCCACCTGATCCTGTTCCGCAGGTACCATGAGTGGCCACAGGGTCATGCACCGACAGACTATGCCCACTGGCGGGAGGCCAAGGCACCGTACCAGGTGCAATGGGCAGCTGACTACGAGCCCTATGTGGTGGTGCCCCGGGACTGTCCCCGCTATGATCCTCGCTTTGTGGGCTTTGGCTGGAACAAGGTGGCCCATATCATAGAGCTGGATGCTCAGGTGAGGAGGGTACCTTGTTACCCTGGCTGTGACCTGCCTGTTCCTGATGGGCCATGGCACAAGCTTGCATTTCGGTCCTCACTTGCTCCTCCCGTGAATTCCTGTCCTCATTCTCACAGGATTATGAACTCCTGGTGCTACCCGAGGCCTTCTCCATCCACTTGCCCCATGCGCCAAGTCTGGACATTTCCCGCTTCCGCTCCAACCCCACCTATCGCAACTGTCTCCAGACCCTGAAGGAAGAGTTTCACCAGGACTTATCGCGGCGCTATGGGGCTGCAGCCCTGAAATACCTCACTGCCCTGCAGCAGTCCCAAAGCCGGGCCTGAGCTTACCAAGCTGCCCTGGCCATGGCTCACATACACTCCCTGCAGACACTGGAGAACCCTGGTGGGTGCCCACCCTCACTGCTATTTAAATTATTTAAGGTTTTTGTCAGAGGGGCTGGGGTGGAGCATCTGTGGGGGTTCCTGTTTCTTTCCTCTGTCGCTGTTCCACTGTTGGGGTCCAACTCTTCTCTGCCCCAGCTGGTTTGGGGCCAGTTTCCCCAATCCCCTTTCAAAATAAAAGAGTTTAAATTGGGGTTTTTCATTTTATGTGTGAGTGTTTTGCCTGTATGTATGTATGCATGTATGTATGTGTGTGCAAGAGGCTTTAGATCCCCTGGAGCTGGAGTTAAGGTTGTTGTGAGCCACCATGTAAGTGCTGGGAACCAAACCCCTGAGCCATTTCTCTCATCCCACAGCAAAGTTTTAAAAATCACCTTTTGTACCCTGGCTGGGGGATCAAGGGCTCTTTAGGGTCTGAGGGCATCAGTGGGCAGTGGGAGCAGGTTCCAGCTGGAATTCTAGAAGAGTCTGAACCCTCAAGGGTCACACATTAGAGACGGAGTCTCTAACCCACACTTTCCCACCCTAGTCCCAAACTCAAAACCAAGAGGCTGAGAGGCTTTATTTGGCTTTATTTAGTAAAATGTTAAAATAAATAAATACAAATTGATCGGCTGCTCTGTACCCCCCACCCCCTCAAAACAAAAACCAAACAAACAAAACAGAAAGTTTGAAGCACAAAACTCCAAATACAAATTTCTACTAAGACTGAAATCACAAAGGGCATGGACACAGACAGGACTGGGTCTGGCTGGCTCTGTCTCGGAGCTCCATGACTTCTGGTCTGCTTAGCCCACCCACCTGACTGCAACTCAGCCTGGGCTAAGAGTGAGGATGCTGGAGAGGGGTGCAGGGGCCAAGGCTGCCATGTGGGACTGCTAAAGGGTGCCACCCTGGCTCGCAGGACTCTTACTTCCTCGGTGAGGGCCAGCAGACTCTTCCCAGGGGTCACCTATCTCCTTGGGGAGGAGCCGGCAGGAGCACAGGCTGAAGGCAGAATGAGGGGGTGGGACAAGGTCCACAGTCATTTACACAGAGCAAAGTAGCCTGATTTCAACAGAAGCCATGGGCTCTGAAGAACCCAGTGCCCAGAAAAGGGCCACTGGTCCCTCTGACGCCTGCCCCTGGGAGGAATGTCCTCAGGAGCTCAGCCCTTTAGTTAGGTAAGATCCACATCCTGGAAGGGCCTAACGGGAAGAGACCACTTGAAAGGTATGAGCTGGGGGGCTGGTGGTGAGAGTCAAGAAGACTCCAATAACCCCAAGAGGAAAGCTTCAGAGAGATGGCGGAGAGGCAGCTGCACATGCAGACAGCTGGAGACCCTGGGTCAGTGCTGGGCGCACACGCACCCTTAACACTGCCTGTTGGGCTTCAGACAGGAAGCAGCAGCAGGAGAGGTGGCCCTAGAAGAAGCCAATCACTAAGATGAGGGCCAGCGGGCCAGCTGGATGCTGCCTGGTGGTGGTCACTGGCTCTAGAGACAGTCCCCACACAGGTAAAGCCATCCAGGGACTGCCCCTAGTGGAGTCCTCCCTGACAGGTGCCAACAGCAGGCAGCCAAGGAAGGAAGAGACTGGGAAAGGTGAGAGGATGGTGCCAACCTCACTGCCTTTACAGCCTGCACCTGCCAGCCTGATCTGGGGACAGGGGAGCTCCCAGTCCAAGGCTCTCCAAAGCAACTGCCAAGCCAGTGGGCCTCACCCCGTGGCTGTAAGAGCAATGCACTGAGGGTAGGGGAAGGGAAGATGAAGGGAGGGAGGCAGGTCAGGTAGAACAGCATGTGTGTCCCAGGTGGTCACAGGTATTCACAGGTCTAAGGGGACAAGGAGCTTTGTTCTGACAGAGTGAAGGGCATGTAGATTGAGAGGGGCAGGGCCTGCATTGGAGGTCTGGAGCAGAGCTACATTTTTCACTTCATTTCAGTAGACTCAGGCAGCTCATTTCCAAATATCAGAAGTGCTGCTCAACTCCTGCATGGTCACTAGCAAGCAGCTCTTCTGGGGCAAAGACCTGTAGTGATTGATGGCTTCTCAACCTCTTTCCACCACAGGTAAGCACTGTGTGCCAAGTCCTAGCCTATGAGCCCAGACAAGTCCAACACAAGATTGGGAGGTTGGGGGAGCCAAGACAGGGCATCAGCCTGCTGCTGGTCTCTGATCCTCTGCCAAAGATTCCTCCAACTAGTCCAGGCATCTCCAAAGCTCACTAACTAGACTTAGCACCTTAGTCTCTGAATAAGAAAAGAGGGCTCTTTTCTGTTCCCCCTCAGTCAACCTTAAGCCAGGGGCCTGACGCTGAGGCCTGTATGGCCAAACTACATCCCCTTTTCTCAAACGCTGGGGAGAGGAATGGATGGCTGGTGTGGACGGGCCTTGCTCACTCTCAGAAGCACCCCTTGTCAGGATCCAGGACCTAAACGGGCAAGAGGAAGCAAAGGGGTCTTTCTTGCTATTCCTAGACTTGGGGGTCTGTCTGGTGGGCTCCAAAGATTCTGCCTGTGGACCTCAGGGCTAGACCTAGGCCTCTGTCCCTTCACTCAAGGGCATGTAATGTACAAAGGTTTCCAGTAGGCGCATGCATCTCATAGTTACTTTCCCCACGGTATTGCAGTGGGGATGACTAGAGAGCCTTTCAGAACTCCAGTTTTCCAAAAAGAAAAGGCCAAAGGCCACAATAGGCCAGACAAGGCAAGCATAGTGATTCTAGCTCAGAGACACCCAGGAAGCATGTGGGTGGGTGGAATGGGAGTGAATTCTGACCCTGGTGCCAAGAGGCAGAGGACAGCTGGAGCTTCAGAACTCTGTCTTCAACACAAGATGGACTTGAAGGCCACCTGGGCTCCAAGAGACATAGGAGCCTTCAAGGGACCTCTCCTTAGTTCTGCTCCAGCCAGCCTGCACCCCACCCCCACCCCACAGGCAGCAAGGAGCCTCACTGGTCAGTCCCCCGAGGCGCCCCCGAGGCATACGGAATGCTGGTGGCTGAAAGACTGAGAGCAGCACCAAAGGAAGGTCTTAGGTGGGCACCCGCCTGCACTCTAGCAAGGTCTGAGACCGTGGGGAGGCCCTCACACCGTGCACACTCCATTTTGGCTTCAAACACAGGAGATGCGATCCCTGTATCAAAAAAGACAGCACAGTCTGAGGAGGGAGGAGGCAGGAGGACCTGCTACTCTGAAGACTGGCCCACCAGCCCAGAGACACACACACAGCAAAATGTCATCGTGGTCAGCAGGTTCTGTGCTAAAAAATTATAACTACACGGCATTTTCTCCAGTTCTGACACCTTTTTAATATAAATCACTGTTTTTTTTTTTTTTTAGGAAACAAATAGCACTTTTGTAATTTTTTTTACAATGTTTCTTACCTTGATCTTAATTTAAGTAACACTAGGAAGACCTCAATATCTTTTATTTTCTTTTTTAATTAAAAAAAGAAAGTTGCTGTTGTTTTCCCCAGGTACAAAGATTTTTTTTTTTTTTGCCCTTGCATTAAAAACAATAAAACAAAACAAAACAACAACAACAAAAAAACACCAGAAAGGAAAACCAAACCAAACAAACCAAACGGTGCCTGAACGATGACACAGGACGCACAAAGACTCACTGACCTCACCGACACTGTGACACTACTCTACCATGCAAGGTCTCGCTACCCTTAAAGGACCGTCAGCCTGAAAACAGCTTTCTATTCCTCATTTTAGTTCTTGTTACAAAAACAAAAACAAAAAAAGGTAAAATAAACCATGAAAAAAAAAAAACTTGGTTTAAACAAAACAAGAACAGAAACAAAAAGTAAGGTTGAAGAAGAGAAAAGGGTTGTCTCCATTCACACACACCTGGTTGTGCCACACACCTGGGTCACGCTGCCCTGCTAAGAACCTTCTCTTCTTATAAATATAGAAAAAGGATGGAGCTTGTTTTCAAGTAAAACCTCTGACCCTCCTTTCTCCCTCCTGGACCACACACACCTTCCCTTCTCTGCCTCAGCAAGGCCTGGGGACCACCTGGGGCTGTGCACTATACCAAGCAGAGGGAAGGAAGGGGTGCTGGAGGTTGAGGGAGAGAGCGGAGCTGGAGAGGGCACCTGGGCTCTCTGGCACTAGGGCCCCTCCAGAAACATTAAATACTGCTTATGTCATATACTTTCCCACCCTTGCTCCCCCCTAGCCTTCCCTGGCCCTCCTCTGGGCACTGGGTTAGTTAAACCTCTATTTCCTTTTTTTTCTCTCTTTTTTTTTCTTTTTTGTTTTTTTGGTTTTATGGTAGTGAAGTTTAGGAACAGGAAAGCCCACACACTCTTTGGACTTGTCTTTTCTACCTAAACAAACGGCTCCCAGTAAGGATCTGAAACCTGCTCTCCTCCCTCCGCCCGTCCCTGCTCCCCACCCAACAAAACAAAAACAAACCCACCGTGGCTGTGGAGGCTGCTGCAGGCACACACTGGTGTATAATAGAGAGAGTAAATATATTATTTCACTTGGCATGGTGCTGGCAAAGAACCTCCAGCTGGCACTATTTCATGTAACATGGTCCAATCTTTGCATGTACACACAGAATCAGAATAAGAAGAATCAATTGGCAAACTCGGGTGCCACCTGGCACAAGCATCTTCTCTCTCTCTGGAACCAAAGAACCAAAAGAATTCTGTACTTTCCAGAAGAAATCCGGCTTTGTTTTTCTAGAGTCTCCTCGCCGCTGGGACTGGCATCTCCTTGAGGGCTCTGTTATTTAGTCTCTTCCCCCTGGTGACAGTTCACTGTGCAGCTCTGCGAGGAGGGGGAGGGGGCGGGTGTGGAGGCGGTGTTGGTAGAGGGGGTGCAGTCTGGGCCATTGGAGAGGGCCCCCACAGTGGCCTCAGAGTCTACAGGTTTGGAGAGGTCGATGCCATGGATGAGGCGGATGAGCTGTTTCACCTTGTCCAGGGAGCTGCGCATCTCCTTCTGCCGTGCCAGGATGGTATTCTTCATCTCCATACATTTCTGTAACAAACCACAAGGATGGGCACTTAGCCTCCTGGGCCCAGTGGCCTCAGAGAAAAATGCCCCCATAAACCAGTTCCTGTGTGCTGGTGTGCACCCTACAACTTGTGCTGTTCTGTCTGGTATGGGCAGACACTACCAAAGGAGGAAGACATAAAAGGCTGGGGGTCAGTGGGTAGTATGAAAGCTAACTCTAGTGGACACTAGCACTTAATGGTGATGCTATGATGTTAAATTCACCACAAAAGCTGCCCTGAAGCTTGTTTCTGCCATGTTCAGAGGTGATTAAAAAGCCAGTGTGAGAATCAGGGAATTGACCTGAGGGTCTGTGGAGGATCATTTACTCACTCACAATTTAGAGGTAGGGCCTGGGTAGGCCAGTAATGTTTAGGAGACCTGAGACCCAAGGCCAAAAGACTCTAGTAAGTGAACCAGGCTCTCTAGGTTGGTTACCAGCTGGCAGCCCTTCCCTTAGTTGAGTAAATGAGGGCTCTAAAGGAGTCACTCAGGGGGGCCCAGTCTGCCTAAGGTCAGGAGAGGCGCTCTCGGCTGTTCCCTGGCATTCAGGGATGCACAGGCACTGGGTGTGCTACAATAGTACATACAGCTGCTGCTCCATCTCTTCCCAGAGACTGAAAAACCCTTACACACAGCGGCCACAAGGACTCTCAGAGCTTGGGCGAAGCATCACGTGTCACAAGTACACGGCCCCTGAGCACCGCACACTAACTCAGGAGGCAGACCTCAGCTGCCCGAGGTGAGCCATCCATCCACAGGAAGGTTAGACATTGCAGAGCTGAGGAAGGAAAGTGGCTTACACTTATGGAACTGCTGAGCTCTTTCACCTTCTGCTCCAGCTGTTCTCGCTCCTGCTTTAAATCTGAACTCCACTTAAGTAGCTTCTGCTTCTCCTCTTCTTTTGCTGGGGAGAAAGTAAGTTTTAAACCATCAATTCTTTGAAAAACTTACCTGGTTCGGGATGTTCACCAGACACCGCCCTGAAAGTACCTCCAGTCACACAGCCAGGACACAGAGCCTGACCACCAGGACTTTCCCTTCTTCCAGGGGTGCTTGCCTTGGTGGCTTGGGCCAGGCTTTACATGGGTAAGGTAGCACACTTCCCAGTTTGTGTCTCAAAAGGTGGTTCCTACACTTTGAACTTCATTCAATAAAGCATTTTTACTTTTCTTTGGAACATCGCCTTCTAGTGGCTTGTTCTTCTGAAAGGGCAGACCTTACCTGCTTTGTAGGCAATATAGGAATGAACAATGGCTAAAGTTCCAGGCCATGGAATTGCTTCTTCCTTCTTCAGCATCTGGAAAGAATTTAGAATTCTCCCTTGAGAACCAAGGTGACAGCAAACACCAGTGTCTGTGCTGTAGACAAGATCCAGGGAGGCTTGTGGAAGCATCACTCAAAGTCGTGGACTACAGGAAGAGGTAGAGACTTGGGAGCATCTCTTATCTTCACAAAAGCCACTTGAGGGGCTGGAGAGATGGCTCAGTGGTTTAGAGCACTGGCACTTCTTCTGGACATACCAGGTTCAAATCCTAGCACCCTCATGGCAGCTCATAACTGTCTGTGACTCCAGTCCCAGGATATCTGACACCCTGTTTTAGCCTCTAAGATTATAGAGCACCAGGCATGTTACATGGTACACAGATATACAAGCAGATAAAACACAGATATACATTTAAAAAAAACACACATAAAAAATATAAAAAAAGACCCAGGAAACCAGGCAGTGGTGGCCCACACCCAGCGATGGGGAGGCCGAGATAGGTGGGTCTGTGAGTTTGAGGCCAGCCTTGTCTACATAAAGAGATCCAGGACAGCCAGGGCTGCACAGTGAGATCCTGTCTCAAACAGAGGCAAAAATAAAAACATTTAACCAAGCAAGCAAAAGCCATAAAACTCCAACCTCTCTCTGTAGCTAGAACCATCAGCACAACAATGGCGGTCCCCTCAGGCAATCCTGTCTTTCCTTTGACATGGGCTGCCCGTTTCAAATTTAGTTTTGCTATGTCTCTCAAAAACACCTCTAAGGAGGTTAAATATAGTTCTAAGTCGTGAAGTATAATCTAGCCCCTGTGTAGGCAACTGTCAGGAAGGTCACAGGAGAGCAGAGCAGGTGAAGGGTACCCTGACCACACAGGTGGTGATGGGATGAGGACTGAGACAGGTGTGGCCATAACCTGGAGGCCTAGCACTCAGGAAGCCAAGGCAGGAGGTCCCAAGTTCAATGCCAGCCTGGGCAACAGAGAGCTAGCTATCTTGCCTCAATACACTATGGACTTAAGATGCAGCTCGATAGTAGAAAGCTTAGGTAGCATTCTGGTCCCAGTGTTACAAAAGAACAAAATAAATAAATAAATAAAAATTTTTAAAGGAAAATTTAAAAACACCACCTCAAATCAGGTTTTATCTATTTGTTTTAGTATTTTTGATACAGTATCTCACTTTGTAGCCATGGCTTGACTGGAACTCATTAAACACATGAGGCTGGCCCCAAACTCAGAGATCTACCAGTCTCAGCTTCCTGATTGTTGGGACTTCAGGTGTGCAAATCCAGACCAGGCCCAGAATGAGTTTTCAAGGATCTTAATTTATTTTTTGCTTTTGCTTTGTTTTATTTTTGTGGTAGTCTCACTTTCTAACTCAGGCTGGCCTTGAATTTATTAAGCTCTTGGCTCAGCCCTTCAAGTGCTGAGATTATAGGCACATGCCACCTTGTGGGGCTGAGGGTCTGTACTTCAAAAGGAAGATAAACCATTTCTCATAGAAGGTGGTGACTCATGTGTCAGGAAGCCTGTGAGGTAACAAAGGCAATGCTGGGTGTCTGCATGCTCTGCCATGAATCAAGAGGATGGGGTCTACAGAACAACCATCAAGAGAGAGACAGAAGCCTGTTCCCCAGAATGGGAAAGAAAGGAATTTACATGGCATTGTCTTCCTCTTCCTTGGTCCCTCATCCATGTGGCCCACCCCGAGTACCTGGTCCTGACATCGAGGGCAGATCCACATGCCCTTGGGAATTGTTTTCAGAGGCGGGTCTAAGCAGTCCAGATGATACACACGAGAACATGTGTCACACATCAGTAACTGGCCACTCTTTCTGCAAACACTGCAAAAATCCTCATGGATATCACCCTATGAGATGGGGAGGAAAGGTAAGGAAAACAAAAGTGTTAGCTTGTAGACAGTGATTGCACACATGTTTTCAACAGTGAGCTACCGGCCCAGAGATGGCCCTACAACACGGCAGGGTTAAGAAACCAGGAGTTGCCAATATCACAAACCTACTCCTGCTCCACAAAGCTCAGTTGCTGGGGTGGCAACTTAACTTGAAATTTAAACATTAAGGACTTTCTTTAAACTTGCAAATTTAAATTAGAGTTTACAGCAAAGATCTTCCATTGCCTGGGCCAAAATCAATAGCTTAGGTAACAGGTTGGCATGTCCAATGCCAAGAATCTAACTGAAAGGTCAGAGGTTATCAGGCACTGAGATCCACTAACCATCGTGTTTTATACTATGATAGGAGCAGCGCTTACCATCCATAATTTGGGGGAGTTTAAGAAGAATTTGGAAGCAAAGGCACAAAATAAACTGAACTTCTTGCTTACTTAGGGAAAACATAGTGATACGCTCAAAAGTGAAAAGTCTAAGCCAGGAGCAGAGAACTTATAAAAGCTTCTAACACAGAGATCTGAAGAAGTCACAGTAGCAGCTAACAATGCTCTATAGAATAGCATTTGGCATTTGCTGCTCAACAGACCATCTATCTAATGGGAGACTTTATTCTTCCCCATAAAATACTTCACTAGATGAAAAAAACTAAAACAAAGAACAAGCAGCACCAGTCTACCCTACCACCCCTCTTTGTGACAGTTCCAGTGCGCAGGGGCTTCTGCAGCCCCTCAGAACAGAATGCAACATTAGAGGAAAGGACACAAGGAAAATAAAATCAAGAGATTTTAAAGAGGTGTATTTCAACAAGTTGATGTGCAACCTGTTGTCTGGATGAGAATCAACACATGGATTAGGATGGCAGGGAAGGGAAAACCGAGCGGACAAGCTGAAGGACATTCAACAAGGCAATGCTAGCACACTGCTTTAAGATGTACGGGGTACTCTGCTAGAAAGCAGTAAGAGAGAAAGTAATGCCCAGTCCCTGTTCTACCACCATACTACCAAGGGAATGCATTTTTCCAGTCATATAGTTTCTGCAGGAAACTCCTCGTGTGTGTGTGTGTGTGTGTGTGTGTGTGTGTGTGTGTGTGTATGTGTGTGTGCGCGCATGCATAGGCACATGCACATGTATGTCTCCAGCCCCATCTTTTAAATTTCATATTTACATATAGCAGTAGTATTTACTGTTTGAGTGTTCAGGTTTCTTTCTTTTTTATAATTTATTTTATGTGTGTTTTGCCTGCATGTATGTCTTTGTGAAGTTGTTGAATCCCCTGGAATCGGAATTTCAGACAGTTGTGAGATGCCACGTGGGTGCTGGGAAATGAACCCAGGTCCTCTGGAAGAGTGGCTATCTCTCCAGACCAAATGTTAGGATTTCTATGTGCTGAAAATCATTGAGGAACTATGAGTTAATTATAGAATCACTGAAAGCTATAGCAACTGTACACTGAAACAAAACAAAAAGACTCAAGGACACAAGTAAGCATTAAATAGCCATCATATCACAAGGGATGTTATATCTGGGAAATCCCTTATCTAGTCCTGAGAAAGAGGGTGGGAATGGTACCTGATGCATTAGTATTATTTTGTAAACAATTTTGGTTTATACAGCTCTGAAGAGTGCAGTGACTCCAGACCATATTCTGAGAGCTGCTCTAGCCTAACAGTATAAATATAAAGTTCCAAGAATGTCAGAATAAATAGAAAATACAGAGACAGTTCGTTCATCCATCAAGGTCAGTCCTTGCCTAGAGAGTGGAGATCACAAGGCTCAACTCTGGTGACAGGCCATAAGCAAACAGTAAGCTGAATTGTGCCTGACCATGACATTGCTAGGAACACGCTGTCTTTATCAACTCCAGCTTTACTGTGTGCTAAAAATTTATAATTAGTCAACATATCTTCCATTCCCATAAAAATGACAGCAGCAACAAGGTACATCCTGAGGATTAGTGTCTGGCTGGGTCTTGTATTACCAAGTCCTTCTAGATGGTTATTGATCCCCAGGAAATGCTTGGCTCTGAACTGTTATTGTTTAATTAATGTTGAGGCTTATGCTACCCAGCAGCAAACACACAGAATCCTGTGTGTTGATTTTAATCACAGCTGCTGTTGAGATACTGTAAAAGTAGAAGTCAATTATCTTAAAAAAAAAAAAAAAATATCCCACTGGGTTTGACTTAGGAAATTCTGAACATTTTTAGTGATTTCAGAAAGCATTATTTTGCCCTTTAGATTTCTGCAAATAAATATGTTTGCATTTTAAGATGAAGCTGGCAAAAGCTTTTAGTTGTGACTTGACCAGAGCGGATCCTTTAGGTCTAATCTGTAAAAGAAAAGCATAAACTCAACCAAAGAACCCAGACTAAGGCAACCGGGTGTAAGAAACTCACAGGCAAAGGCTCAAAGTCACCTCCCCCAATACTGTCACTGATGTATAGAGAGTCAGTGAGCTGTTCGTTTCTTTGACCACATTTGGATTGGGGGAAACTGGATCAGTCTTCAGTGCCAGCAAACATGATTTCTGATAGGTACTTCTGGTGCATGTTAGCGTGACAGTTAGAAAACTTGCATCAGTTTCCAGGGCCAAATGATAGGAAGGATGGATGGTTCCAAGTCTTTAGAACCAGGATGAGTCTATAGCATCAGCTATAGCAAGAACAGGACTGCTGGGAACAGAATTCTCCTATGACCCCAGTTCTCCAAAGATAATACTTTGTTCACTGCCTCTGGAGTTCTAACTCAAGGCTTCAGTTAAAGGAGTATGTCATTAGTAAGTCATGAGAACCTTCAATATCAAGGAAGATTTCACCACACAAGATGGTTAACAAGCTCTGCAATTTCTAAGGGATGAGGACATGAACCTAGAAATTCTTGCTTTGCTGCTTCAGGATTGTTCCTCTTGACATCTTCAGTAAATGGTAGGTAGGCTTATGGTTGTTGAGGCCATGAACTTTATATTTATCCTTGATACTCCTCTTTTTCTTATTACTCAATTTAATCCACCCAAATCTTCAAAATACAAACAAAAAATGGCCACCTTTCTCCATCTCTACATTTGCCACACCATCAGCAATAGCCTGGATCATAACAGTAGCCTCCTTATTGGCTTCCCTGCTTTATTCCATCCTTCCCAAGGCCCCTCTCTCCACAATGCTGCTTTTAAAATTCAGCTGGTTCTATAAGCATCAGGAAGCATCCAAGGAAGGAGAAATCTTTGGTTAACACACAGACTCAAAGCTATCTCCAAGCAATGGAAATTATCTTAAGAGATGGCAATTAATGCTACCACAAACAGGCTGATGCCACAGGCCTCCTGCTGCATACACTGAGAAGGACCTGTCATCCTTGATTCTAGGTGCCTTTAAAAACGTATGCTTCAGTCTATTCTGAACACAATTTAGTGGGGGCAAATGTCACAATCTAGTGGAGCAACTGTTCCATTGAAAAAAGATACCACCACCAGGAAAGACACAGATTGGCTAAGAAGGGCCATCTTTGAGACAGCTTAGTGGATAAATGCACTTGCCACCAAGCCTGATGTTCAGAGTTCAATTCTAGGGACCCACAAAATGGAAGGAGAGAACTGATTTCCAAGAGCTGTCCTCTGACCCCCCACACATTTGCCATGGCATGGGTATATACACAAAGACACAGATACACATACTCTAAATGAATAAATTGCAATTAAAAAAAAAAAAAGATGGCCTAAGAAACTATTTCCAAATAAAGGAGAGTAAAGAGATCCAACCAGGATAATAAATGCCAAGAGAGAGTGATCTTGGACAAACACAATTACTAGAAAAACCAGAATATGAACAGCTACATGTTAAATTCTCATAATTCCATAACTGCATGGTGGCTACACAACAGAATACTGTTATTCTTAGAAGTGGAAATTTTTAATTGGCTCAAGAAAAAGTGTGTACACACACACGTGGGTGCAAATATGTAAACGAAGACAAAAGTATAGCGAGTTAACTGATGAATCAGAGCAAATGGTGACACTGTCCACTACACCACTGCTGCTACAGTTACCTTTCCATTTGTAAAGGGAGAATGACATCATTCCCCTGGTGACCCTCTACTGTACTTAGAATAAAAATCACAGAATCTTGTATGAGCAGTCCTGTTACCTCTCTGGTCACACCTCCTGTACATAACTGAGGTTTCTTCTCCCTCTCCATGGAGGATGCCTTAGCCTTCCTGGCACTGCACTTTGTACCTTACTGTTCCCTTTCTCCTCCTGGTGCTCATCTCTGCCTGGTGGGTTACATGTTTGTTCCCTTGTTTCCTATTTCTTCCTACAGCACACAAGCCTGAGTGCTTGCATTTTGCTTGGTTTGTTCCTTGTATCCAGAACCTCGTGAGCAGTACTTGCTCAGCAGAACAGTGTTCAGTGAGGATCTGCTGAGTGAACTTGATGCACTGTAAGTGCTGGAACCTGCTTCTGGCCAGCTCCACCAAATAGAAAATGTGCACCTAACATAACAGCAGGGCTGCTAGACGCAGCTGCTCTGCTCATGCTGTATCTCCAGCACACCAATGATAGAGACCTCTCAACCATATAAGTCCATGTTCCCACCCTCCTCTGAGAGCTCATTCACAGCTGATCAAATCTAGACTCTGAAACCCTGGGTTCCCTGGATTTAAGTGAACATGACTCACAAGGACAAGAAATAGCTCAGACCCCAAAATAAAGCTGCCTGGAATGGTAAACAGGTATTCTGCAGGGTCAACTGTTATTCCAGGGTTAGCGAGGATGGGTCAATCTGGTGAGGAGACAATATAGGACAATGTTTTCCCATGTGAGCTCTCAGAGAGAGTGCACGTCCCCAGGTTACTTACGTCTGTGGAGGTGGGGCTGGGCAGGGACACAGGCTGCACAGGTGCAGGGAAAGTGAATGTGGTCTCTGTCTTTTCATTTTCAGGGGAGTCGGGATGACTGGATGGGGGGGATGTTGGGGTAAGGGCTCCAAACCCCAGCACCGCATTGTATTTTGGAGGACGACCTATATACCAAGAGAAGGGAACAAAAGGGGAAAAGGGGGAGGGAAAGACAGGGGGAAAATGATCTTACATACCTTTGGCCAGTGTTCCTCATTGGCTAGCATGGAAAGGAAGTGAGGTGGCAGACAGAAGGTTAATACACAGGCCAGAGGAAGGAAAAGAAGCAAAGACTGTAATGCCATTAGAAACAACTACATGAATTCTAAAAGAAGGGAGAAGAAGGGAGCGTTAAAAGAGTGGTAAAAGGTGCTGGAGTTTGTAAGAGGACCCCATCTCAGCAGCTCATGATCATTCCTGGACTATCAACAATCTGAGGTTTCTAATAGGAGGACCCAGGTGTCATGAACATGAAGGAAAGGAGCCTGAAGTCAGAACAGAGTTTATCTTTCATGAGTTTTGTGCATTAGTCACTAAGGCTTTTCTGCAGCCATTACTCCTAATGACCCTCTGTTTTCATGAGTGGATTTATTCAGATTTCTGATTTTCTGTGTCTATCTTGTCAACAGTTTTGACCTTTTACTTCTGGTAAGGGTGGAGGAAGGCAATGTGAGGGGGCAGAATCCCAGGCAATTGTCCTGTCCCTCTGCTGTCAGAGCCACTGGGAGGGATTTCTAGGAAAAGCTGGAGTGTAAGAATAGCAATGAATTCACAGGTTCCCAGCCTTGGGTAACCTTTGTGTATCCTTGGGTATTACACCACAAACAGGCATGGACTGCAAGTTTAAGGACAGGACTCTGGGCATTTTGCAAAAGGTCCAGTCTGAAGCAATCTACAAGTAGTCTAAAAAGGCAGAGTCCAGGGTCACAGGAAGTCACTCTTACCACACACCTAAATTAAGGTCTATGTCTCCTGAGAACTGAGTGACAGCCTCTAAGCTGTCAGTGATCATGAGTTCAAACCAATACATTAAAGTTAGGAACAGCTAGTGAAGTCTGATTTGCCCATAAGCACTGGTGAAGGCTTTCACACCAGTCAGTTTATGTTGGGGTCATGCACAGGTGTTATGACAACCAGGTGCCACACTAGCATTGCCTGTGTTGTCAGAAAGAGCCTGTGTTGCAAAGATAGATTTGTCTAGTTTTTTTCTTAAGAACCTAGTGCTGGGAGGAAGAAAACTGATAATAAATCCTCTTTGCTTATACATACAAGGCATGTCCAAAGCATGTCTAAAGCCAATGCTGCCTTTAGCTTCTGATCTTTCTGGTTTATTTAACCTGTTCTCTAAGCAGATACTATGTCCTACCAGGCCAATTAATTGAGGCCATTGGCTGGGGCTTTCTTATATGAGAATTGTGTGGTCCCTAAAAAATAGCTGAACACAAAAACCAAAAAATAACTTAAGACAATGGCCCAGGAGCCAGTACAAAGTAATAACTGGAGGTTTTCCATCTAGATGGGTTGGTTATTTGCAGGGCAGGAGTGACAAAAGATCGCTCATGTCAGTGAGGCTGACTGTCTCAGGAATATGATAGTGCATTGGTAGCTCTGCCTTAGGCAGACAAAGGTCAGGGTGACCTCCAAAGTCTCCAATGGTTCTGAGAGTCTGTGTGCATGCACGAAGATCAGTATGCTAGTCACTCACTCAACAGCCTTTCCAGCCTGCAACTGCAACTCAGGGACACATTACCACATGGAGAAAGGGATCTTGGGATGTATTACTGACATCAGAGGGTGATTTCAGTACCTTGTTTATGAGTCAAAGCCTGAGCTATGAAGACCTATTTAGACCTGCATGATGAGAGTAGCTGCTGTTTTGGTCTGCCTAGAGTAAGGTCTAGAAGATGGGAATAGCATGTTAGCACTGTTTGTGCTGAGGAGCCTGCTTTCACAGCATCCTTTTCTTCCTTAGCTGGAGAGGCTCAAGATAAAAGATTCTAAGTTCTCTTCCTGGAAAATCTACAGATCACAGAAATTCAGTCTTGTTCTACCCTCACTGGAAACAGGACAACTGAAACACTATTAAAAACACCTTGGTAACAGCAGTCCTCAGGTGTTTAATGATGCTAAACACTTCCTTTCACACAGTTCTCTGTTCACTGAGCTATTCATGGATGGCCTAGTATGCTTGGGGCAGAAATGCTGCATTAAGCCATTCTCCTGAGCCAGCTTAGCCAGGACCCAGAAAGTCAATTTTTAACCTTGTGTTCAGAACACTAAGAAGGCTCTCTTTTCCTCCATGTTCTCAGAAAACAAACAAACCAAAAAAAAAAAAAAAAAAAAAAAAAAAAATCTATTTTCAAGGGATAGAGGAGTTAGGTTCTAGGACAATGGAAAAGAGGGAGTGAGGAGAAAAAGAACACAACATGGAAAGCAGAGGCAGAAGCATGACAGAGTCGTTAAAAGGGACTCACCTCTCTTCCGCGTCCCAGGATGCATTGTGCTGTTAAGGTAAGTGACTGCACTCTTCTTACGCTTTGGAGATTTAAGAAGGAAAAGTGACTATTGAATAGCATGGTTATCATGAACACTGCAAACATGCCAATCACATGCTAACAAGTCTGTGCCAATCATCCCAAGGTCTCAGCACTAATATGTTTTATTTTATTTTACTTTTGGTTTTTCGAGACAGGGTTTCTCTGTGTAGCTTTTGGAGCCTGTCCTGGTACTCACTCTGTAGACCAGGCTGGCCTCAAACTCACAGAGATCCACCTGCCTCTGCCTTCCCAGTGCTGGGATTAAAGGCATGTACCAACACCGCCCGACAATAATGTGTTTTATTTTATGTACTTGGCTCTGAGAGAATACTCCAAAGGGGCCTGCCTGTACTCCATGACAGTGTGGTCAAATCAGGATGAACTAAAATTGTAAGGTAGGATTGTATCTACTCAAACTTAGCACAACAAGATCTTTTTTTTTTTTTTTTAAATTATTTATTAATTATATATACAGTGTTCTGTCTGCATGTATCCCTACAGGCCAGATAGTTGTGAGCCACCATGTGGTTGCTAGGAATTGAACTCAGGACCTCTGGAAGAGCAGGCAGTGCTCTTAACCTCTGAGCCATCTCTCCAGCACAGCACAACAAGATCTTAAGAGGTAAGTAGAGATGGATGATACTGTGGAGTTAGGAGCAGAGAGAAACAAGGCCATCACTTCACAGAGCTGAAGAGGCTGAGTACATACAGTCCTACTGCTCTTAGGCTTTCAGCAGGAGGGACTAACAACAAATGAAGCCGGGGCAGGAGGAAGGGCCAGTGCTGGCCCGGCGTACCTCTGGCTCAAAGACGGCTCCACTGTACACCGGGTTGGCTGTTGTTCTTCTCTTTCGCTCCTGCCTTTTGCTTTGGATTTCTGGAAAAGAGAAAGACTTTGTGAGAAGATGGGAACAAAGAAGCTAAGGAACAGAAGTTCACTATTTAATGTACTGGGTTTCCTGCAACCAGTAAGGAACAGGGCCAAGGCTTTGTTTCATTAAGGCCTCAACAGAGGCAGGCACACTACTGGTGCCTCTCAGCGGGAAAAGCTATGCTGTCCTTCAGTGCAATGCCTTGTGAATGAGAGCGCTGGTGTGGATCACACTTGCAATCAGCCATTCTCATTTATTTTTAGACTGATGTGCACACAAGGTATACAGGAGCTGTATACCTTTTGATTGGTGAATCAAAATTCACCACCCCTAACTAAACAACGAGGGGTTGTGGAGTCTTGTAAGTAATTGTTCTTAGGATTTTGATGTCCAGACACTGGAAAACAGAGACAAGTACTTGTCAAAGGAGCACTTGCTACTCTGTTGTGAGACAAAGACACTGCATGAGTCACCTTCATTCAGGAAGCTGGGAAGTTCCCAGGACAGGAGTGTGACTGATACTAGGAAGAAGAGGGCCTGGACACTGCAAGGACAGGAGGCAATTTTTTCTCTAAAGGAAATCTAGTCCACACTGGTTGAATTATACTCTATTTGTGTTCTAACTTTCTATTCTAGCAATTCAAACATTAATTTTAGGAACAAAGCTAGGAGAAATAACATGCTGAGAATATTTTGTCTTACCTTCTAGATGGTCATGTGTTACCAACCCTAGAGACACCATGAAGGCAAGTTTCTGTGCCAGAGAAACAAAAGAATATTGTTCAGTCTGGGATCTCGCAAAGACAATCATAGGCTTCCCAGTCAGAGAGCAGGAAAACTGCCCTGCCAGAGGTGGCAGCCACATGAAGAGCCACCACAGAAGCGTGCTGTTTTGACAAGGGCTGGCATTTTGCAAAGTCACACATCAGCATCTGGACTGAATGGAGTTTGAACTGTTTGCTCAGAGAATGTTCTTACAGAGCATCCCTAGTGGAGGAGCTCGCAGAGGGACTATAAGAGACCCCATGGTGCCACTCTTCACTGGGACACTGCTTCCTTACTTTCACTCCCATTCCAAACAGCACAAATAACAGCTGATGTTTTTGGGGACACCGGTAGGTGGTTCTGCCTAGTACTACAATTTTCAGTTAGACATGAAACCTAAATATCACGGGGCAGTTTCCCTCCAACTGTATCCCTGAGATAAAAATTCAAGATCTTTAAACTGGAAAGCACAATGGACCAATTGCTATATTTTGCTTTGGTTGGATGTGATCTGAAAAGTACGTCTTCATTGTCTAAAGACCCTAAGTACGGAGAAGGAAATATTCTTTGATGAATAAAAACACCATCAACTATTAGGTAACATGGTCTCATAGTCACTAACAATATATCTGGTCTCTCTCACACACACACACCTCTACCTCTATAAGAGTAATTTTAGAAGGTTCTGTTCAACTGGAAGGAAACATCTATCTTACACATGATGACACTTGCAGTGGGTCACTAACATGAGATATCTATCCTTCCTTTTTACAAAGCAATTATGCTGTTTGAGCATGATGGTGAATGCCAGCACTAGGAAGACCGGGGCAAGTGGATTCTGCAAATGTAAGGTCAACCTGGGCTACACAGTCAGTTCCAATTTAGCTGGGCCACACAGCAAGACCCTGTCTCAAAAAGATCTTTTTGATAAGTTTGCAAAGTGTAATGGTTGCCATTACTTTTTGTAAATGATCTACAAGTTTTTCAGCGGGTTTTGTAACAAGGACTTCTTTTTGGTTCAAGTTCTAGCCCTTTAAAAAAATACAGTTGATTTCACATCAGAAAGAAGTACATTTAGTACTTGTTTAACAAAAACTAGGCTGATTTAATAGATCTTTCCTCGTTGTATTAAAAGAAAAAGGTGTGACCCCATCAGCTTCATGCCACTGTCTGGCATGCTTTCACTATGAGACTGCGTTGAGGAAAGAGGGTCCCGTAAACTCCATTACCATCAAGCATCCTCTTGCCCATGGGCACGCAGACAGTGCGTTGCTTGTGTGGACATTACCTCCTCCAATCCACTTTCATGCTCAGCATACTACCTTTGACCCACTAACCCCTTTGGGCTTTACTGCTCTACTGTAGTAAAGTGACCTAACAGAACTGAACAATGGCAGCTCACAATACAAAGAGACAGCAGCTGATTCCCTCAGCTGCCTTATACACATTGTCTGAGACAAGCACAACACAGCCTTCGTTATGAATGTTACAGGACACCTGGGAAATTCATCATTAACTTCTGTTTCAAGTTTACAGGATTTATATAAAAACATTTCAGAACTCTTCCTTTCAGCACCCGTACTTGGGCCCTAGGAATCTGTGCTTAAAAAACAACAAACAAACAAACCAAAACAAAAAACAAAACAACAACAACAACAAAAAACTTGCCCCAGGTGGACCTGACTTGATAATCACATGGCTGAATGAAAGGAACACTGAGAGAGCAGCTAAATCTCAAGCACTGGACCCAATGAGGCCTTGCAGAGATGGTCCTACCTGAGGGTTCTCTTCTCGTTTTGGTTTTGGTGCAGCAGGTGGAGTGACGGTACGGCTCTCTGCTTGCTTCTCTTCCGTTTCTGTATGGGATTTAACTGTCTAGGAGAGAACAATTAAGTGAAAATCCAGAATTAATTTTTTATTAAAAGAATTGAAAACAGTTCAACAATGGCTAGAAAAAAAAATGTACTCAAATTTGAAACACTAACAGGCAAGTTCATATGCATTATGTTGAGAAGGAAGAAAGATGTAAAAGTCCAGCTGGAGACAATGGATTGCATGAACCTATAAACACAATCAGATAGAAATATAGTTCTTGCATATAAAAATGAAGTGCCAGCAAAGCACCTGCTGCTGATAACCTGACGTTTGCTCCTCAAGATCCAACTTGGTGGAAAAGACAACTAACTTCCCTAAGTGACTCTCGACCTCCACCTGTGCTGCACAGCACTCACTGCCCAGTAAATAACAATGCTTTAAAAGAGCAAAAAGGGCTCAGGTTAAAAGCACTGGCTTCTCTTACAGTGGATCTGGGTTCAGTTCTCACATGGAAGCTCACAACCATCTGCAACTCCAGTCCCTGGGCCCTCTTTCTGCTTCCTTGGGCACCAGGTACACACATGGTGTACAGATATAAATTCGGGCAAAGTATCTACATACATAAAGATGATTAGAAATCTATTTTAAAGGCAAAGGAAAACTAGACATTGTGCTCTTTGGCTGGGGGATATGGAGGTTTCCAGAAACATCATCAGATACAGGTCAAGCTCTGTCCATGTGTACTTAGATCTGCAGGACACAACACAGTTCTTCTATCCCAAAATTTTCTTCAGAACAATCCCAAGCACTACCTAGAACTACATTTACTTGGGGTGCTTTAAAAATGCCTTGAAAGATGCTGAAGTTCTGATCACTCCCAACTCCTAGAAGCATTCACTTAAACACAGACACACCAGTCACACTACTATCTGTGGACACAATGGTAGTTAGTATACATCACTACTAGTCTTGCATTATTATTATTATTATGAGCAATGGTTACTTCTTTTAAGAATCTGTAGAAATAAAATGGTTTTAGAACAGTAGACATAAAACTATAAAATTACTGTTTAAAATCTAATAAAAATTATAGGTGCAATGGTCTTTTTGTAAGGTAACAAGTAATTAAGTAAATTAGAATAAAATCTGATTATTGATAGGCAAGAACTGAGTGTAAGACTTTAGTCCCATAAAAAAAGACACCAGAAGTTCTTAGAAACCATTACACTGTGAATGTGCTAGGTCTAAAAAGCTTTCACTTCTTCCTATGGCTATTCTCATACTTGCCTCTGGCTTTGCACGCTGATGCATGGGCAAATGTTAAGACCTGCTTATCCACAGTGGGGAAGCTGCTACACTGGGGCCCAGCTGCTGCCTTTATTTCTCTAACCAGAGTCCTGTCACAAGTCTCCATCTGTATTATAAGCCACATGAGCAGGGGCTGCTTATATGCTCCTTGTTATTGTATTCCTTTGAGCCAGTATGGCACCTCATGCTTGCACTCAATAAAGCACTGGCCTCCAGGAGAATCAATCAAGTTTCAATCTCTCTCTCAACTTCCTCCTCTTTCCTTACCCACATAATTTTTAATTTAGCCCCCAAAGGGCCTATTTCCTTCATAAAGCAAACCTTTAATGGGATAGTCATTCATAGTGACATTACTAAAGTTTGGGGTACTCAGAATTAGCTTATTTTCTTTTACTGTGGAAGGACAGTGGAGTGAGAAAGGTCAACCATAGGGTTTGTATTCCATTCCATTCCTGCCTGAAACAGTTCCCTGAGAGACTGACTCTTTTATTTCCATGGTTGAACAAACACTTGGTGGCAATGCTCCTGGTTAAGGCAAACAAGCCCCCCTGCACTGAGGATTACCCACACCTACACCCACCTCTCTCTCCCCCTCTGGAAAGCAGAGCACACTGAGTGTTGTATAAGAACACAAAAAAGAATCCAAACAAAAACAAAACAAAACATTTTTGGGGGGTCTCCTTTCTCTCAAGGACCTCTTGCTCTAGGAGAAGTCAGCTGTCATGTGCCCACAATTACAGAGACATTCAAGCCAGATGAAATAGTCTCCTGCCCACAATCAGCAAGAAGCAAGGCTGAGAGTTACTTGACTGAGCTTAGTTATAAACCAACCAACTCTAGTTAAGACTTGTGATAGCTGCAGCTCTGGCCAACTACTTAGACTACAAACTTGTGAGAGACCTGGAGCCCAAACTATTCAGCTAAGCTGGAGACCAGAAGACAGAAGGACAATGTTCTTAAAGGGTGAAACAAACAAAACCCAGAAAAAACAAAGCCATCACCTAACAATCCTTGATTGTGTTAAAACTATCCTTAAAGAAGGAAGGCAAGCCAGGGACATAGTGAGACCTTGTCTCAAACAAACAAATGAAGAAAAACTCAAACTTGGTCCTTTGGGGGGAAAAAAAATGAACAGAAGTTATAAACTTCTAGAGACCAAGGAAAAAGATGAAATAGTTAAAAAGCAGAAGGGGGACATTATTACTAATCTTAAGTATAGTAATAAATAGGATTTTTAAGATAATACATCAGATAATTGTATGACAATCATATAACACAAAAGAATTTCTGGAAATGCATTACCCAAGCTGACCCAATATGAGATAGTAAAGTCTAGATAAACACAGAAACACTAGACTTAAACAGTAATCAAAGTATCCCCAAACAAAAATATTACATTGGCTGGTTCATCGAATGATTAGTACCAACCCTTGTCAAAGTCTTTCAAAAAACAGGGTCCTAGGAATTGACGAAGCTGCTCAGTGGTTAAGAGCACTTGATCTCAGTTCACAGCACCCACATTAGGCAGCTTAACAACCACCTGTAATTCCAGCTCCAGGGGATTCAAAGCCCTCTTCTGAATTTTGAAGGTACCTGTACACACATGCACACATGCATGCACACACCACATACATGTTATTTAAAAATTAAAAAATCTTAAAACACACACCTACTAAAAGCTAATAAACTCAGCAAAGTTGGAGGGTACAACAGTGTACTGAGAGAAAAGACAACCTATAGAACAAGAGAAAATATTTAAAATAATGTAAAGAACTCCTACAATTCATCAAGAGAAAGAAAAATGATTCTACTTAAAAGTGGACAAAGAGGGTCTGGAGAGATGGCTCAGTTAAAGGCACTTGTTCTTGCAGAGGAAGGACCCAGGTTTGATTCCTAGTACCCACATTGTGGCTCACAACTGTCCATAACTTCAGTTCCAGGGGATCCAAATGCTCTTTTGACCTCCACGGGGTACATGATTCACAGACACACATGTGAGCAAAACACTCAGCACATACAAAATAAATCTAAAAATATTTTGAAATAAGTGGAGAAAGAGTTTGAATAGATTGCTCATTCAAAAATAAATACAAAAGCCAATAAACATGAAACTAAATACTATTAATTATGGAAAAGTAAAAAACCCACTTTATTTGCATACTTTACACCTCCTAGGATAGCTTAAAAAAACACTTTACACTAGCATGAACATCAAACAAATGGAATGCACACATATTATTGATGGGAATGAAAATTACTTAGTGTGACTTACAGGAAGTATGGCATTATACGACACAGCAATCATGCTTAGCTATATATGCAAAGGAACTGTAAACAACATACAGGCGATTGTGCATGAACGTTCCCAATGGCACTTAACTAGTCTCAATGGCTACAAGGTAGACATACCTCAAATGTCCATCAAAAGATAAATGAATAAACAAATTGTGATACACACAAAAATGTATGTATATATATATATATATATATATGAATACAAACCAGATACTAAAAAGAAGCACCAGCAATGTTACAAAGTAAGCAAATCTTGAAAACATGCTAGGTGAAAGGAGTCTTACATAAAAAGCCATTTATTAAATTGTTCCATTTCTATGAAACAACAGAGTCATCAATGACACAGACAAAGCAGACCGGTGACTCCCAGGGACAAACAATGGGATGAATAGAAAGTAGCTGCTTAATAGACACTGGGTTTTATTTTAGAGTAATGAAAATACTTTGCAACTAGACAGACAGTGGTAACATAACAGTGTAAATGTACTAAATGTCATTAAACTGTTTACTTTTGGGTAATTATTTGATGATTCTAAAAGTTTGATCTCTTAAGAGAAAATAAAACATTATTCATATTGAAGGTGCCCTGAAGACATTATCTTTTGCTTATGTGGTGTTTAAACAGCCACCAGTATTTAAAAACCAGGCAATTCTTCAAAGCATCTGGATTCTGGACTTCTGAGTTTCCATATGATCACAACTGGCTACTGCCAAGCAGCAGTTACTCTCTTGAAAATGAGCCTTCCCCATTTTTTTTTTTTTTTATTGTCAATTACAGCCACACTTGTTGGACTATTTTGAGAGGAATTAAGAAGGAAAGGAGAATATCACTTACAGTCATGCCTTATAGCAAGTGGAGAAGCAGTAGTCCACTTGTCTGTCCCAGCTCATGCTAACCTCTATCCCTGCCTCCCACACTCTCCACATGTATCTGACAGAGCTCCTGTTCTTTTCTGGACTTATGAAAGATAGAGTTCCCAAACTCTGGCATGTGCATAACTAAGGTAATTATTTATACCTCCAATTTTACAATTTTAAATTCGCCACATGACATGTGCCATAGGTAAGCGTCCAGGGAGTTCCATTAATTGAATTATGTAAATTCGGACTAGAGGCAAGGCAATTCTGCTTTATGGCCACTTGTGCCCTCAGCTCAGGTTCACTAGGAGGGAAGGCTAGAAGTGGAGCACAGCACTGATGTATACAGATATTACTCTCCTAAGCATGCCTGGTTTAGAACATACTATCAAGACTCCTATCAAAGTTGGGGCCTGGGTGGGGGTAATCTGCCTTTTCCCCCCACAGAACCTCCGCGGCATCATTTTTTTTTTTTTTTTTTTTAAGCCTTGGGGACATAGAGGTCTTTGTCACAGGGTGCGGTTGGAGAGAATAAACAAACACAATTTCCTGAAAACCTGATCTGATCTGCATCAGGCATGGTCGCTTGGACTGGAAAT